GGGGGGTTATCATATGAAATGGATAAACAAACTACGGCACAACTGGCTAAAAAAAGTCTCGGTAAAATTTCACAGACACCAAGCGATTTACGATGCTATTAATACAGAAAATCTAGCCAAGCAAGTTTTAGAATACACATTTTTGGGAATGCGGCCTCCACAGTTTCAGTTGCAAGTACCCTTAGTGATCAAACGTCGTTTAGTGTTGCCAATCGTTCACAAATTGGATCAACCCCTCAGATCTTCGCCATGGACCTCCAGGTTGACCTGTGGTCACTGCGGTTGGACAGGAGAGGACCTGGAGGAAAAGCCCCCGCAGGACAGGTCGCTGCTCATTGGCTACCGTGGTACAATAGCGGGACAATAGCTCAATTAATAGGGGTGGGGTTTAGTTACCTCCTCTGGGGTCCGTACACTCTGATGGGAAAGTGCTACGTCTCAAATTATTTTCCCCTCCAGTTGATTCCTACAACTACACAATTCACATACTTTTTAATTAAAAGTATATGTCTTGATGCCCATTTTCTTTTTAGAGTTTTAAATTTAAAAAGTCCGTTATATTTTATTGGACTCTGAATTCCAGTAGAAATTTAGACTTTAATATACAGCATGGCAACTTTCAGTTTTCGGGATTTCCTTTTAGGTTGTTTGGGCTTGGGCGGGGCTTGATAACAATGCTCTTTTTGAGAGTCTGTCAAATGATTGGCAGGCGGACCGCGAACCAAAAGTAACAACCGTTATCCACCCAAGCGCGGGTACACGGGTGATTTGTCCACCCCAAGCAGCGAATCTGACCGTGTAATTCATTACCACTAATGGAAGCGCCCAGGCTTCACTTACGTACATGCTCGAGTTTGATCGTTTGGTGACAGTTATTCGAGACAAATAGACTCGTGCATTAAAAAAAAATATATTGTCTGAAAATTTAATCCTGTTTCTTTGAAAAAAAAAATCCGTTAATAATAACAATCAGGAAGACTTGAAATTCCGTTTCATTGTGTTGGGATTTGACACTAAAGAAGTCAGGTAAGCCATAAGCAGTTCTCTATTTATTCATACACCTTTTACAAAAATAATGAATATCCTTGTTCATATACACTAACGTGACAAGGAGAGGGTTGGTGTTCTACATTCCTAAGTGTGTCTTCAAAATTTTGCATATTTTTTATAGCTTTGCAGCTGCATCTTTCTCTTAACATTAATTTGAGACTGGTTTTGGTATCCCTTTCCCCATTCATTCCCACCCGTAGCACACAAACACACATACACACACGCAAGCGCGCATACACATTCCCGTATATACGCACAGTCTCTTTCACACACACACACACACACACACACAC